CACTGAGACAAAACACAAATAGCCTAGTGCAGAATCTCAAGTGCTCCCCCAGCCAAATCTGTCTGCTACGCATGGCCATGCCTTCTCCCACATCCCTGCTGCCAGCTTCTCCTTCCGGTCAGCTGACTCTTTGAATATCCCTTTCTTCACACACGCCCCTAAGTTTTTAAATGCCTTTCTTTCTCAGCAATGTCTTTCCTTCCCCACCCACTGCTGCCTGCTCTTCTTCTTCCCTTCCTCTGTCCAGGCAGAGTGGCGTGTGTGTGTGTGTGTGTGTGTGCACACGTGTGTGCGTGTGTGTGTATGCATGTGTGCGTGTGTGCATGTGCACGCGCATGTGTGTATGTGTGTGTATGCACGTGTGTGCGCGTGTGTGAGTGTGTGCCTGTGTGTGCACGCATGTGTGTGTGCATGCGTGTGCATGTATGCGTGTGCGTGCGTGTGTGTGTGTGTGTGTGTGTGTGCTTTTTACCAACAGGTTTCTCTGTGTAACAGCCCTGGCCATCCTAGCATCTGCTTTGTAGACCAGGCTGGCCTCAAACTCACAGAGATCTGCCTACCTCTGCCTCTGGAGTGCTGGGATATGCTTTCTGTTGAGGCAGGAGGGCATTTGTTTGGAGTAAGCCCTATTGCCTAGGTTTAAAGTCTCGCTAAATCGGGCAGTAGCCGTGAGGGCTTCAAGGTTGGGACTCATCTCCGTGTCTTATGATCCAGCTGCATGGTGTCTTCAGCAAGACAGTCTTACCAGCAAGTTCAGGAGATGAGCCAAGAGCAGTGGCAAGGGCATGCAGCATGTGAGGGGTATCTGTGGAACCCCAGTAGCCAACAGCTGAGAAAGTGGCTTTTTACCTGACAGCCACTGGTGGCTGGAGGAGGTGTTATCCCCCACCCTCTTTTATACTATAGAGTCATCCTATTTACCCCACCTTTTACATATGTGGACCTTTTAGAAAGTGTCTACTGCAGCAGATAGGAAACCTCAGCTTTTAAAGAACCATTGCTACACCTGATGTGAAGGGAAGAGCCGCAGCGGCGTTGAGAGGAAGGGCAGACTCTGAGGTGCTCCTGTAAGGTGACAATGTTGACCCGTCTGAACTGTGATTGGCACCTGACCGGGCTGTGTCTAAGGAAATTCAGCAGGCTCACTGAAGCGCAGCTCTGGGGAAAGTTAGGGACAGGCTCCTCACTCAAGCTGGCCCCATGGGGACAGGCATGCCTGGCTTACTCTCTGTATCAAACACCGGAGGGAACCAAAGGCAGGCCTTAGCGCAGAAGACTCAGGAGAGCATGGGTGTTTCACAGAAGAGAGTAAAGGTGTTCCCACTTTCTTCTACTGGCTGAGCAGGTTTGAACAGCAACTCCTGAGTGTGGGGCCATTTCACCAGAAAAGCGTTACAACACTATTTTCACAAACCACCCTGAAAGACTCATTCTTCAAAGCCAGTGGTTTAGCAACCCCAGAGGACTTGATGGAATGGCGAGCCATCAGAAGGCAGGCCTGTGAGCAGGCCCCTGGGGAACACTGCTCCTTAAGCCCCAGCCCCGCACTCACTGTGGGCACCAAAGTGAGAAAGAGCAGCCCGCTAAGGTCAGAGGGAAGAAGAGCAGTTCCACCTCACAAAGAGGAATGCTGAAGATCCCAGGAATGTGAACTGTGGGTTGTGAATGGCTGGCATCCAGGGAGCGGGGTTCCCTCTTGCTGTTCAGGACCTGGGGCTTCATGAAGCAGGTCTCTGGATAGACAGAACCAGGCAACTGCTCATGGCCACAGCTCCAGCCTGTGATCCATCTTCAGAGGAGCTTCCGACACAAAAGAGGACCGGGTGTCTGGAAGCTCGTAGGAAGCCTTTCAGAGACAACTTGGCAAATAGAAACCGCATCCGGAGTCTTACTGACAATGATAGACTTACCAGCCGAGGATAAGCCCTCTACCACAATTTCTGAGCCAAATTTGAAGCACGCTTTATTAAATACTGGCCAGGATGATGGACACTAGCCAGGCCCATACCAAGGAGTCCCAGAATATGGCCACAAATTGCAAAACCCGACAAGGCTAAGTATTTCCAGTCTTTGTCCAATCGCAACATGCGAGTCTTGATGTATACCTCCTGCCCGTCTGTGACCAAACACATCCTCTGCAGTTGGGCCAACCACACTTGTTTACAGATGTAAAACCATGAAGCTTGTTACCTTGCATAAACAATAGCCCTAGAATTCCAGGAAGTTATTTGTTCCTGGGGTAAGTGGGGCTTACAGAACATAGGCATTTTTTTTGTTTTATAGATCTCTTAAGCACAGTCATTTAAACTTAGAACACAACTTTAACCCTCACAACCGACATAAGGAACAATTCTCAAGCAAGAAACAAGCATTTGTTTTGCAGATGTGTGTTGAACCAAAATCCTGGACATCTCTATTGAGCCATTACAGATGGCAACCGGAAAGAAATACTGACTCTGAATGTACTCCTAGGGCCACCACTAGCAGAGCTAGGGAGCAGCTGCAGAGTGTACAGTGTTTGCTTAGCATGTGCACATCCTTGTGTTCGAATTCCTGGAACACATAAACTCAAACACAGTAACAGGCATGGTTGTCATTTCAACACTGGGAAGGTGGAGGCAGGAGGACCAGAAATGCAAAGCCACCCTCGGCTGCTTGCCAGTTCAAGGTCAACTTGAACAACCTGAGACCCTATGTGAGAGCCAAAGTTACATATTAAGTTTTCATTACTATGCCTTCGAGATCCATGAAACAAAAATAGCTCTTATGTGCAAGCACCTTGCCCAAAGACAGACAGTCCCCGAAAAGCTGGAGGCTGTTATTTATGGGAGATGACAAACCACATGTTGTCACTCCCCTAAACACATGCTTGATCACATGCGGACAGGAGGTTCACAGGCAGGAAATACATTGGGATATATGTTTGCCCCTGATTGGATATAGGCTAGAGGAATATCAGGATGTCTGCTTGCTCCTGATTGGACCTGATAGGAAATACTTAAGCCACTGCAAAACCTGATTCAGGGCCATTTGTTTTTCTGGGAAACCAGAGATGGACCTGGCCAGGGTCCATGCACCTGGCCAGTATTTAATTAAAGTTTGCTTCAAGTTTGACTTTAAGTTGTGGTAGTGATCTTATCCTCGACTGTGGAATTAATACCTATCAAAAAAAGTAAAAGAACTTGAGGTGGTCTTATAATTAAAGCTGAGATATCTCTTAGCATGATAATTATCCCACTGAGACATGTCTTCCTGTTTCTGGATGTGATTTATGATAGCAGTAGGATGCAGAGCATAGCAACCGCCCTGGGAGGGCCTACAGGCCATAGCAACCAACCTGTTGCAGTTGACCAATCAACTCAGGACAGGTTGTCCAAGCCCAGAAGTGCACCAATCCGGAGACTGTTGTGGACCCCTAGACACTCCCCTTGCTCCACCCCAGTAAATTCCCTGCCTCTCTGTCCCTCTGGATCCTTCATGCCCCACCCACTGTGTCGGCAGGACAGATGGAGTTAAGTAAGGTTAACTCATTAAACAATAAAACACTCTTTGCTTTTGCATCAAATCAGGTCTTGGTTTGGGAGTTCAGAACTTGAGCAGAACAAATGAAAAATGAAAAAAGTTGACCATTGCTCTGGAAGAATATAGAAACTGAATTCATTTCAGTCTGTAGAAGTAAGTTGAAGAAGAAAAGTCCATGGAAGCTGTCAGTTTTCATGGAACGTCAGAAGACTCACCATCGAAGTATAGAGAATGGTATATGGAGGACCACAGTAAGATCCCTTAAATCTGCAGCAGCCCACTGTGTGACTCCCTTCCACCAACTATGGCCTTTGCTACAAACACTAGTAGGGAATCTTTTTGTTTATTTGCTTTTGTTTTTCAAGACAGGGTATTTCTGTGTAGCCCCGGCCATCTTGGAACTCCCTCTATAGACCAGGCTGGCCTCAAAAAAGAGATCTGCCTGCCTCTGCCTCCTGAGTGCTAGGGTGGCTAGCAGGGAATCTTGAAGTGGGTGATTTTGTGGAAGTCATTCTATGACTTTATCTCTGGAACTGCCAGTTTCCAGTGTGGCTGCTGTATAACTATCAGCATTGTATATTGTATATGAATAGGTACAGTACATTAGCTGTCACCTTCATTCCTAAAGCCCCTTCACCACCAGTGTCCTAAAAAACAGTGCTGACAGACAGGCTTGTGAGATTTAGAGAACTGCAGAAGTTTTTCATTAATCATGACTGGGCAACGAAGCTTCTCTTCCTAGTTAGATTTCCTAAGGTCCCTTTCTGTTCCACAAGTACAGGCTCTGCAGAATGGCTGCTGTCCTGATTCACTGGTTTTTTTCTGCCTTAGATGAATTGCAGTCTTGTGTTTGTTTTCATATTTTAAAGCCTGTTAGCAAATTCCAGCTCACTCTCCAGACCCTCTCCAGCACCACAGGTCAGCTCCCTGGAGAAGACTCTTCTTCCCTGGAGGAGACACACCAGAGGAATGCTCACGTAAGATCCAGAGGACCTGATCATCTCCTACAACTTATATCAGAAAGCCAAGACCCCAGCTCAGCATGGCGACACATACCCATGGTTTTAGCTACTGGAAAACAGAGAAAGACCCTAGAAGGTATGCGTTTCAGACCAGTCGATGCTAGGGTTTGACTCCAAACTGTGCCCCCTTGAGCTCAGATTTTGAACATTTTCATCCAGATTCGGTGCTGTTTTGGGAAACTATGTTTATGTCCACATCGTCTAGGCTTACTGGCAATGTCTGGAGCTCTTTCTTCCCTGGCATCTCTCTCTCTCTCTCTCTCTCTCTCTCTCTCTCTCTCTCTCTCTCTCTCTCTCTCTCTCTCTCTCTCTCTCTCCCTCCCTCCTTATTCTCTGTGTTCCTCTTTCCAGAATTCTTCTAGTCTGGTAGCCTCACCGATACTTCCTGCCTGGCTACATCCTGCCTGTCCATTGGCTGAAACAGCTTTATTCATCAGCCAATAAGAGAAACATATATTCACAGCATACAGAAGGGCATCCCCCATCAGCAGTGAGTTTGGAGCCAACTTCCCTTAAAAGCTTGACAGCTGATATGTGTCCCCCCTTTGTGTGTGTGTGATTACTACATCTTTCACAACTGAAATTCATGACACTAAAATCTAACAGCTGATCATTTTCTAACTTATAAGTCACATTTAGTGGTGTACTTAAACCATTTGACTGAAACAAAATTCATGTGAAGAAATAGATTTAGCTGCATTTAAATTCATATATAATAAGCTATATGATTCCTATGTGTTATAGGTTAAACTTTTCCTTAAAAATACATTCTGTGACAACCTACATTTATGTTATAGCCCACGTATTTATTGGTAGACATGTTTGCTTGTTGAATTAGCTTTATTTCCCTGTACTATTGGGATATTTTTACATACAAAATTTTGTTCAAGCTGTTCAGTTTCTATGGCAGTAAGAGAAAAATGAAGTCTGTTTTCTCTGTGAAAAAGGCAGGCCTGGCCCATTTCTCTGCCTATGAGAATGTACAGCAGGTTGGTTCAGCTCGGAAGCCTTTTATAGCCTGGAGGTCTCAGTTGCACTGGGCTCGTTTGTTGAAATAAAGTGCAGAACAAGAGCTGCCATCCGTTTCAGAGAGAGAGAGAGACACTGCGGGCAAGCCTCTAGATGGACTGCAAAGTCAGTACCTATGACCAGCAGGGTACGGATTCCAGCTCCACAGTGTGCCGTAAGAGTGGTCAGCGGTGAGAGGGAAGGACTCCCCAGCAGCCCCTGAATCCATGCCTGCCTCGACCTTCAAGTGACAGGAAGACCTGACAGGATGAAGGACTCCACCTGTCCTTTTCTGCTTCTGGCCTGAGAACCCTGTCCACTGACCACCCTGACGAGGAAAGGCAAAGCAAAAGATGACTGCAGAGAATGGCGGTGTCTGAGGTGTCGGAGGGACATCGGTAAGTCTGGAAATAGTCCACTACCTTGGTGAGTGGTACAGGTGGAGGAGCTCCCATAAATAAATACATATAGTTACAGTACATATGTGTGTATATATATATATCATATAGTTATATATCCTATATCATATAGTTACAGTACATATGTGTATATATATCATATAGTTATATATCATATATCATATAGTTATAGTACATATGTGTATATATATGTATCATATAGTTATATATCATATAGTTACAGTACATAAGTGTGTATATATATATATCATATAGCTATATATCATATATTTACAGTACATTTGTGTATATATATCATATAGTTATATATCATATATCATATAGTTAAAGTACATATGTATATATATATGTATCATATAGTTATATATCATATAGTTACAGTATATATGTGTGTATATATATCATATAGTTATATATCATATAGTTACAGTACATATATATATATATATCATGCACACACCTTGTTATTTGATTCATGTTGTAGTATTTTGGCATAAATGTTAATCAGGTCTTTCATTTTTATTTTTCCTGTTCGTCTGTGGTTCCTTTTGTAGGAGTGAACCCCACAAAACTATCCGCCCATGAGGGCGGGGACATGTAAACTGACACAGGTAGATATAAAAGGAAGTGAAAGGAAAAGGAACCCCCCCTTTTTCTCCTGGAAGCCAGCCATGCTTCTAACTCCTGGTTTGTGCAACTCTCTCTCTCTCTCTCTCTGGTAAATAAATATATTGTTTTCCATATAGCATCGAATATCATTGATATCCTTTGAAGTTCTTCCACCGATGGACTAACCAAAGAACCTAACCCATTTTCTGACAGGACAATGTCAGTGACAAGGAAACAGTATCGGCAGCAACTCTTCCCCCCCTCCCCTCCTTTTATCCGTATACCTTTATTTGAAGTGTTCATTGCAAAGTGTCATTGGTCTGGTTTGAGGCTTCTGGTTTCTGCTACAGCATCGATGCTGGGCCCTCACTGGGTCTCCTCGTGGTTATACTTTTGTTGCCCTGTGTTGTGGAGATCCTGCAGCTTTGGGTCTGCAGAACCGGCCCCTTCTTGTGCTCCAGCGGATCACAGATGGGGTGGATGTTGGGGTGGGCCAACTCACAGCCCTGGTCGGTCAGCCCACCAGCTCCCCCTTGTCCTCACCACCAGGGTGAGCTCTCCTGCATCGCTCTGGCTAGTTTCCCCTTGCAGCGATGAGCAAGAGGAAAGGCCAGTTCTCTGGGTTTCACATCCTCAGGGTGGGTCTCCCACACCCACACCTTCAGAGCCAGCTCTACCGTGTTGCCCAAGCGTGGCATAGGGACCAAGTCTTGCCGCTGATGTGGGGCAGGTCCAGCTCTCCCACCAGCCTCAGGCAGATGGGTGGGGGGAAGGCATCTCTCCCCCACCCATGCCACCGCGTGACAGATGAGTAACGGGGACAACTCTCCCATGCTCATGACTTTGGGTCTGGCTCACCCACACCTCTGCCAGTGGGTGTTGGTTCTGCTGTGCTGTCCAGGCGAGATGCAGGGCCTCAGCATGAGCTCGTAAAGCACATTAGGTGCACTCTAGCTTCAACAGTGATCTCAAGAACAAACCGCACAGCAAACTGTCCCTCTATAAACTGTACCAGTAAGTTAGGCTGCCCAGATAAGCCCACTGCCACAACTCAACACTTACACGCCCACTCAGCTAACCCTTAGCTCCAGTACTTTCTCCTCTCTCTATGGTTCAACAAATGTGCATTGATCTCTTTCAATGGGCTGACATTTATTTGCTTATTTATTTAAACAGAGACCTTGTAGTTCAGGCTGGCCTTGAGTTACCTATTTTCTGAAGGATGACCTTGAACTTCCCATCCTCCTGCCCTCAACATCCAAGGGCTGGGATTACAGACGTGTACTTCCATGGGAGTTTTTAATCTTCTAATAGGTTTCTATGACAAAAGGAAACTATCTGGCCTCCTGTCATCTAGAGCCAGTCTGAATACAAGCTTCTCCTGGCAGTGTTCTTTGTGACTGGGTCCATTGTATTCATCTCACAGACCTCATTTCCCACACAGCTCCATTCTCACTAGCCCAATGAGAACCTAAAAGGCAGAGCCCAGGCCTCACTCTTACTTTTAGTTCTATATTTGAATACAGGCATCCAGACAAGCTTGTTTCTTGGATTTTACAAGGCTAACCTGGAACAGACACTGAGGATTGAAAGAAGTGTGAAACAATGCCCTTGCCCTCAAGCTACCCACTGCCAATCAACCAGAGGCGCATTACATATGCCTGGACATAAACCTTTCTTTTCCTGGGACCCCGTCTAGGCACCTAAGGAAAACAGGCGCCATAGATACCTCCCCCAGTCTTCCCTCCATAGCTCTTTCATCACGGCTGTTGGCTTTAATTAGGGTGTTTGTTTGACATTTGTTTTGTCCATATCTGCACCATTCGACTTTATTCTGCATTATTAAAAGCATTTCTTTTATTTTGGTATTGTGAGTGACCGAAGTTTATAGCTGGTGTGAATACCTCATCAGATTTCTCCTTCGTTTCCCTTCAGTGGTGCGAGTGTCAGTTCTGTCTAGCAGGAAGACAACAGCCAGACCTGATTGCCATTGCAGTCATCAGCCAAGTTGTGTAACACAATAGAGGTGCCCATGTCACTATATTACAGCTGCCATTAGTGTATCCGTTATTCTTAAGGCATCTCTCTTTCTCCATGGTGAAAGGCTCCTTGAAGGACATCTTAATTAGGGTTTCTATTGCTATGAAGACACACCAAAACCTTCCAAAGGAAAACGTTTAATTGAGGAGGCTTACAGTTTCAGAGGTTTCGTCCATTATCACCATAGTACGGCATGGCAGAGGTAGCATGGTAATGGTAGCAGGAATTTCTACATCTTACAGGAAACAGGAAGTGGACTGAGACACTGGGCAGTGCCTTGAGCATATATGAGATCTTAAAGCCCTCCTCCACAGTGACACTCTTCTTCCAACAAGACCACACCTAATCTAACAAGGCCACACCGCCTAATAGTGCCACTTGCTATGAGATTAATAGGGGCCAGTTACATTCAAACTACCACAAAGAACATTTGAATTTCAAAAAGAAAGAAAAAATGCCTAGGTTAGCCTGTGTTCTTTGGCTGTGGGCTAACTTTTCTTACATGGACCCATCCTGTGCTTCAGCCTGAGTGAACCCATTCTCTCTCACAGACACTTCTTTCCACGCTGTAGGCTGTCCTGGCCGTGGTATTTCCTTATCTAGTCTCCATTTGAAAGGAGAGTCAGTTTAAAACTCTCCTCTTCCATAGGGCCTATTTGGAGGATGTCTAGAACTCGGATCCACGTATTGCACAGAGTAATAGAAATGAAAGGGTATCATCCACAGACCATGGGTTGTGTTGGATTATCATTAATTGCTAATATATGCGTGGATTATGTTTGACTCCTCAGGGCCAGTTTTTGCTTGTCTTTTGTGGTACTGGGCAACAGACACACACACAAAGAAACACTTGTCTGCTCTCCAGCTTTCTAGTATTCTTTGGACTATCATTTCTCATTCCCTCATACACGCACCCATAACAGATCTTTATTTTCATTTTTTAATCCCAGCTCAGGCAGATTCAATTCTTCTCTCGGTCTTTGGGGAGATCTCCAAGAAAATTCAAACAAAAATATTAATGGGAACTTTGAAGCTGGTACCTTTGCTTGCCTGTCCTCCTGAAGGACAGGGAACTCTCCCTTTGTTGTTAATGTGAGGTTTCCTCTCATTACTCAACAAGTGAAGGCAGGTAGCCTGAAGAGGAACCGAGAGGATCAAGAGGAAGTCTCAGATATCGATAGTCAGCAGAATCCAATGTTCAGAGCCAAGGACATGGGCCGTAGACTCAACCACAACACACAAGGAAGGAATTGTGAAAATGGCAGGATAATGACGATGGGGCTGTGTAGCCACTGAGTGCCTGAACAGGTGAGAAAACTGAGCTCCCCAAGGCACAGGCTTGAATGGCGAGGAAGCCTGGCTTCAAAGCTTGTTAACTTGATTACATTGCACGGTGAGGTGTTTCTACCAATTCTTTTTTTAATGACTTATTCTTATACTTTATGTGCATTGGTGTTTTGTCTGCATGTGTGTCTGGGTGAGCTGCCCTGTGGGTGCTGGGAACTGAACTGGGTCCTCTGGATGAGCAGCCGGTGCTCTTAACCACTGAGCCATCTCTCCAGCCCCTTTTCTACCAATTCTGGAAGCTCACCCCAAAAAATAAAATTACAGAAAGCATGACCTGAGTATTCATCATGACCATAAACTGATTTTAGTATCAGCATTCCTTAAGTGGCTCCAAATACATGTTAAAGTAATTCCAAGTATTTGAGTTAAGTATGTTCTAAAAAGCTTTGAAAATTATAGAATGAAAAAATTTTTGAGTCAGTAAAATCTACTGCTTTCTTTGGTCAATAGCCTCATCAACCATAGACAGAAAATTTAATTAATCCAGTGAACAGAGCACAGAAACATAGAAGAACTGAATTGACCCAGCTATGATCTAACCTTGGCTTTATTTTTTATTTTTTTATTTTTATTTTTAGGCCTCTAAGCACCTCTACCACAGATGTGACTGGATTGACAGGACTCAAGTGATGAAATGGCATTCTACTGTGTGTCACTCAGCTCAGCTGCTGGAAGACACAATTGTCACTTCAGGGAGGCTTCAGGCTCAACAATTTAGAGCCCTGTTTTTAAAATTCAAACTTAGGTTGGCTCCAGCATGACAGAAAGAGAGAAAGGGGGAGGGAAAGAAAAGGAAAGGGAGAAGGTGGACAGAAATGAAATATGAGAAATGCTTTTTGTGTCAAAGGTAGCCAAGCCCGCCATAAATCTCCCCACCATGTAAAACTTTGTTTATGAACGGGCCTCGCTGTTTCTGGAATGTGATGGCCTGTCCATCACTCCAGACCCTTTTTTAAAATTATTGATACATATATGTGTGTGAATAAATATATAAATACAACCTGCTGAATTCACTTATTGTTGTTTGGATGCATATGTTTTTAGGGATGATCACTTGGTATTGGATGGCCAATTAGGGGAGACTGACTCTCCATCTCCCAATAGTCACTAATTGCGTGCAACCCTTCATCTAGGATGGGGCCTCTGAGATTTTCCCTGTCCACACATACATGACAACTGGTGTTCAGGTCTTGTTCGGGTAGCCACACTGTTGAAATTTCATGGGTGCAGCTTCCCCGTCATACTTAAAAAAAAACAAAATCCTGCAGCAAACTCTCTGGGCCTCTGTCTTTTACAATCTTCCTGCCCCCACCTCTGTGATAGCCTGTGAACCTTAGGTGCAGAAGATGTATTACAAATGTGTCTGTTGGGGTTAGGCACCCCACAGGCAGCCACTCTCTGCATTTTGACCAGCTGCAGTTTTCTGTAATGGTCTCCATCTGATGCAAGAGAAGTTTCTCTGATGGGTGATGAAAACTACGCTTAAAACTCTGTTAGGAATTATTCTATCTAGCAAAATGCTAGCAGTAGGCTCTTCAGTAACCACAGGAGATTGGCTAAGTTTATGCCAGGCATAATTTCCCTCCTGTTGAGTGGACCTTAAATCCAATTAGACAGCGGTTGTTACCACCAAGCTTTAAGTACCACTACTGACCCTCTGGGAATATCTTGCTGTGGCCGTTGTTGTGGGTCATGGATGTCACAGCTGGGTAGGGCTGCTGACTGCTTTCCTCCCTTGGCAACTTGCATAGCACCTTTAAAATATGCTGGTAGAAACACCAGAGAGTATCAGGGTGCATCCAGGCAGAGACGTCTTAGTCATAGGTCTCAGTGCTGTCTCATGGCTCTCTTAGCCCTTAGCAAGGTAGAAAACACAGGCTTGTTAAGTTTATACAGTCCAAAAAAGTTTTTGTCTTTAAGGAAGTTAGGTTCAGCTTTATCTGTTAATGCCAGGATATTGGGGTGAGGAGGGCAGATGGTTATTTGGGAGCTAATGAAAGCCCAAGATAAACTGTAACTGGGCTCTGGGCCTGCAACATTCCATTCTCTCCACATCCCTAAAGTTCCCATCAGTCAATCAGCTTCCTTCCAGGAGCTCTCCTTCACAGGTGTCTTCCTCAGTCTCTCTGTCCCCTGGCTATTGAGACAGGTCTCCCACGTGAACCTAGAGTTCAACCACTCTGCTAGTCTAGCAACCCTGCTTACCCTGGGGATCCATGTGTGCCCTGCCAGCTCTTGGATTACAGACAGGCCTCCATGCTCACCTGGCGCTTACACGGGCAAGCTAGTGATCTGAGCTCAGATCTTCACTCTTGTGCATCAGTCCCAAGATCGACCTCATGGTGCCAATTCAGGATTTGTTACAATACTCCCTTCAGTCCATACAGTAGAAGCTTCTCCCACACAATGTTCGTAAAGGCACCTTAGGGAAGGGGATATTGGCAGAAACGACTGTGGCTCAGATCTTCCAGCAGGAGACAAAGACTGGAACTGCCATTAACCTCAGAAATACCCTAAAAGGTACCAGGGCCCGCTGAGTCCCGGAAACTGAAGGAAGGAGAATCCTGGGAGGGACTCCAGTCTAGATTATGGGGAAGCCACTCAGATCTAAAGTTAGCTTTGATTCCATGACATCAACAGATGTCAAGCAAACTTGATACCTTGTTTGTTTTGTTTTGTTTTGTTTTGGTCGTTTAACCTTTCACAGCGGATCCCCTACCCAGCACTGTGGAAAACCCTGCTGCGTAAGTCAACCTTTTTCCAGAGAATTAAAGTGTCTGGCAGCCCAGCCTGGGGAGTTCGTGCATGTTGAGGAAATGTGTTAATGAGTCAGAGCCTGTGAGCCTAATCTCGTTATTAAAGTGTTCCTATCCTAGGAGGAACTAAAGGTGTGGACAGTGTCTCTTTCTGCCTCCTCTAATTTTAGGATATGAGACTCAAAGGTGCAAAGCACATTTCTCTACGAAGCCACAGAAATCCCTTCTGAAATCACAGCAGCTATGCGCCTTTATTTCTACTCTGTTATCGTATCAATTCTCTAACGACTGGTAAGAGAATACTCAGAAATTTTCACACGTTGCATAACTTTTGGGAGCAACAACTTGCACGGAGCAATGCTGCTGCTCACATGAAACATTCTACCTTAGCTTCCAGAGGCAGAACACAGTATGCAATTGAGGCCTGACCACATGAATTCCTTCCTGAAATATAAAATCTGACCCACACTAGACCTGGGCAGGAGTTTGAACCTGCACACAGTGATAGAAGGGACAGGTCTCGATTCTGCCCACAGGGGAAGAGGGAACATGTATGGAAAAGTTTTTGTTGTGCCTATTTCCTTCAACAACAAATATAGCCCACATGAGTACAACAGAGTAGCCTAAGTCTACACTGGCATTGTGCGATGTATATTTACAAAAACAACCTTTAGTCTTCTATGGAGCTCTTGGCAGCGTGCGTAGGTTAAAGGCATAGTAGTTATCAAAAGTGCTCCTCCCTTAAGAATGTAGAATGAATTCCCTTTGCTGTCAATATGAACGGTACTTGGTGACTTCTGGCAAACAGCATACACGAGAAGTGATTAGGTCAGAAGGGCCATCATAGCTTGTTTTCCCTTTGTTTCACTGTCCTTGGAAAGCCGGCAGCCAGACAAGAGAGGATTCAGCAGCCAAGACAGAGAACTAAGCCCTCTCCAGCAATGGCAAGGGACCACACAATAACCTCCATATGAGACACAAGAAAGGCAAAAGGGCTCTGATCATGTGTTCAGATGACTGAGTCTGGCTTAGATCCTGAGGGAACTAGGCTGCTCCCAACTCCTGACACAGAGAAACCGACAAGAAATACATGATTTTCTAGTAGACAATGAATACAACAAGAACAGGTAACTAGTGCTCTTCACTGTGATCTGTAAGTATTGTTGAGAGTGACTTTTCTGTGCATTTATTGTGTGTCTGGGAGGTTTGTTTCATTGTTGTTGTTTCTTTAAGTAAACCAAGCAGTTAGGAGCAGGTCACCAGGCCATGTGTGAGAGACTCTGAGCTGGGCAGACTCCCTAGGAGGTAGACAGATATGGAGAGGGGTCACAGCTAATAAAAGTGGCAAATTTCTAAGATGGCTACCTTCTTCCTCACCCTCTGGCAGCTTAAAACAAAGGCCTTGTTGGCTTTTGTCTCCCCAGCAGGTCCCCTGCCAATGGACTGGCTCAACCAGCCCTGCTCTGGGCTGTTATACAACAGTTCTGGGTCAATCTGCAATCCTATTTCTCTTCAAGCTGACCAATCCTGAAGCAGGGAGGAAGACCCTTCTGAGACTGTAAACCCCAGCCTGTAGAAGAGACTGGATGTCACCTTTCCGAGTCTCAGTTCTGCTTCACAGAGGGTCTTTTTCTCTGTGGGTCTGCTACATGTGTATTTCCTCATGCCCAATGAACACCTTCCTCTAACTGCTGGTTCTGTCCGTGGTGCTTCAGTTTTCTGGGCCACTATCTCTTGTGCCCCAGGTTTTCCTGACTTTAATTCTTTAACAAACAACAGAGAAAATGAACCAACCAAATCCCTAGACTACATGTATCTTTGGGGGTTCATCTCAGGTTTCTTACAGGCTGTTGCTTTGTGCACAGTGGCCTTGAGTGGGGAGCTGTGGACCAAGGACCTCCTTCTCCTGGTGCTGAATTGGACTGCCCTCAGGGCACTGCAGCTGTTAGAACACTTGAGGACCACGCTGAGGAGACGTCTTTCCGGTTGGAAGAGCCTCTGCAACCACAGCTGTTGATGAGGCCAGGCCTTGCTTCAGGCAACTTGTCCCAGTTTTGGAAGATTACTCTGTGGGTCATAAAAGCCACGAGTAAACTGTAAATGTTTCCCCTCACCTTGCAGTCTGTCCCACTCAGTAGGGAAGATGGCATCTCCTCATCTCCTCGTTGACTAGGCAAAAAGCCCTAGAGTGGTACAAGGTACCACTTCTGACTGGCTCATAGGTGAGGCCTGTGGTTAGTAGAACCACAGGCCATGCACGTAAGCAACTATGACTGGTGGAACTGTGATCCAAGCACATGTCACACCCGTTTCCTAGCTCTATAAACGGGTTGTCCTTCAGGCAGTGCACCTACGATTACAACACTGAGCCCCAGATTGAGCTTTCCCTGAAAGTCCTTTCATTTCTTTTTTTGTGAGGTAAGCTGCTAACACTGAGCAGAGGAAACCACCCAGGCTTCAAACCCAGGCACCACACAGTAACAGCTGGAGGCTGTAGCTTCCTCAGCACTTCCATGGTGGCCTAAGAGTTCCAGAGTGGCTGGGAGACAGTGATAAGTATGGAAACTACAAAGGGTTACAGAGGTCCTAAGAAGGCAAGCTGTGAGCCCTGCTGTTAGAGGAGTTTAGAGAGACACCAAGAGTTAAGAGCTGCCGGTCCCAACTCTCCATGCTCAGGGTCCACACAACCAGCAGCTGGGTGCAGGGATGCTGGTTTTGAAGGCCCAGATACTACTTTGACCTGAGTGCCTATCTTGGAATTATAAGTCTGTAGGCCTCAGGGCCTAGAGTTACATGACTCTAAGGTTTGAAAGCCTGGCCACCAGCATTCAGGAGCTCAGGGGTGCCAATAATAAGGAAGTTTCTCGTTGCCCTATCATGATTTCTATCTGAATAGAGGAAAAGGACCTCAAGCCTGTCATGTGTAACAAAAGCATTCCACATGATATGGAATGGGCGGTGTTATGTATTACATGTACGTGTTGTACAGTGGTATTCTTGGGTGACAATGATGGGTAACCTAAGCTCAACACTGGCAGCAGACATACGACTGTAGAGTAGGTTGCAGATGAAGGGGAAACTGCATGTCAAGAGATACAGAGGGCTTATGGGATACCTCTGTGCTTCCTACTCAATTTTCTGTGAGCCTGAACTGCACTTTAAAGTGTATAAAAACCTACAAGTGCACTTAGTAATGAACCTTTTTAAGGCAGAAGGCTACTCTAGACACACACATTGTACTAAG